TCGTCCTTGGTATTGCCCATCTGGAGGAAAGCCTTCTGATCTTGAGTGGCAGCTGATGCGTCATCACCAAACAAGAAGCCGGCAGTATCAATATGACCAAGAAGCGAGCCCACATCTGGAAGATTTCCGCGGTTGCCGTAGTCCATTCTAGTAACGGGCATGGACATACGGTTGTTCCTATTTGGGTTAGCAGTGTTTGAGGTGATGTTGTGCTGGGCCAACTTACTTGCGCGCGGCCGGACTCAGAGGAGTAAAGTCGTCGTTCTCAAAGTCGTCGTGCTCCTCCTCAGAGTTGCGACGAGATCCTGGCATTGAGTGCGAAGGCAAGTTGCCGTTGCTCTGGAAGTTGGCGGGAGGGGAAGTGACCTGGGAGTTGGCACGGCTACCGCGTGTGGTCATACCCGGGTTGATACTGGACATGCTGAAACGGTTCGGACGCGACAAAGCGGACGGGAACCCGTTGCTCTCGTTGTACTCGGGTGGGGTAGTGGGCTGGCTATGCGCAGGTCCGCCGTAGTGAGCATCAGCCGAGAATCGGTTGTTGTCACTCTCGCCGTGCTGGGCTTGCAAGTTGAGAAGCTCCATCTCAGCGTCGAATCGCCGTTTTGCTTCTTTGAGATACTCGTGTTCAATCCGTTTTCTCTCAAGCTAGCAAGCTGTTAGCTGGTCACACGGACCGGCGAGGGTGTTTGAGCGCGTTTGTCGTGAGGCAACAGCGTCGCTCGTGACGTAGGACGATGCAGATGGGAAGAGATGAGGATATAGATAGGGAATAGAGTCTCAAATGAGACAGAGAAATGTACAGGAGTAATGATAGCAAAGCTAGCTTTTGGAGAGGCGGACTTTTGTGGTGGTGTAGGAGAGACAAAGGCAAAAGACAATTGTTGGTCAATATGGGCGTCGCCTGGACAGGTAGCCTTGGCAACGACTGCAATCTTACTTTCAGTAGGATTTGTGGGCGACAAGTGAGAGACGCAGAAAGACGCAGTGAAGTAGACTTACAACTTGGAGCTTGTGGTACGTCTGTTGGGATTGGTCGTTAGCCCGAATTCTTGGTCACCGCGTATGTATAATAGCTAACGGACAGCAGCTCTACCAGCGCAGCCATACTATGTCGTTTCAAGCATATCCGACATGGCTGCGGTTGCTACTGAGTACCGACATGCAAAGCGCCGCGGAGCCCCAACACTGAACATCCGCCTCTTACGTGTACGAGAGTGCCCACATACCGCTGTAGTAAACTCGGCCGGCTCTGCCGCTTGTCTACGTTGTTGTCCGATTGGCGACAGAGGCGTGCTCATGGTCGGAATGTTGTTGGTCGTGAAGCGGCGCTGCAGGGTCGCGCGGCCATCGCCGTTCTGAGCGGCGCGATTCAAGGAAAGGAACGACTGCTCTTCGCGCGGAGATCTGAGGCCGTTGCCTCCTCCCATGCCTTGGTAGGCCATACTGGCTAGAATACTAGAAATACACTGCCGTCACGTCAGCGCGACTGCCCTGGGAGCTGGTGTGGGGGATTGGCGGGCGGTGTGAAGTTCACATGGCAGCCGCGACCGCTTCGCAGGAGACACGGAAGGCGCATTTACATACAGATAATTCGTACACGGGGCAAATGCCCTTGCTGCCCTCGCTGCTCGCTGTTCGTGGTCGTACAGAGTCGGGACGGAAGCGTGGTTGGAGGCTCGGTACGTAGGCAGGAACGGAAGTCGCTGTGGTGCGGGTCGCAGCAGCGCGCACTCGATGGCCTATGCACAGCACGAGTCGTGGGTAAGGACAGTCGGAGCAAGTCTGGAAGGGTTGGCCAACAGTTCAACTTCGGGCGCCGAAAGAGCAAGTCTATAGATGGAGCGGGAGTGGAGCGTTGGACTTGAAAGCTCAGGGTCCATCACTGATCAGGGGACGATGTGGCGCTCCAACTAGTGCTGGGTGGGATTCCGCACATATTGCCCATCTGCTGGTCGCGTACTCTGCCCAATTGAGGTTTTGGACCCTCCTGTTCTCCCGCAGCTGTCTACTGTACATGCGCAGCTACTGTAGAGACTATCTAGCACGCAAACGCGCATCGCATCCCAGGATTAAACACACATTGTAGTCATGGCTTCGGAACGCGGTGCTAATCGAATCTGGCAACCCATCTTGTATGTGTCGTCCCAGCCTTTGTGCAGCTCCGCGCAGCTGTCACAGCCTTCCGCTATCCAACGCGGCCCACTCTAACTCGATATGCGCGGCAAACGTGGTTCTGAATGCTTCTCTACAGCGCGTTCCAGGCCCCTGGAGTGGGATGGAGATGCCGGCGGGCGGTGCGCAATGCCCTCACGTCATCCGGCAGCTCTTCGCCCAAGAGTCCCCCAGCCAGTCAGGGTTGCAGCATCTAGTAGTACCGCAATAAGTACTAGGAGGGGCAGTGTAGCTTCCACGGCCGAAGGACTGGCGGGGCATCGATCGTCTCAAACACCGACGTATGCCGCTACGCGTGCCGCGCCATTCTGGTAGACATGTCGTGCAGGAGGACTGAGTGAGTCTCTGACAGTTTTCTGCTACCGAAAGGTTGGTTTATTTGTCAGTAGGCGACATTGACCGACACTTGTTCGATTCCCTGGCTTTGCATCTCACCAAATGCCCATCTCTTTGCGACAATGGCGATCTTTATAAATGAGGCGCCTCGTTCTCCCATGCAGCCGATGCGGTTAGATGGGCCTGACCGCTCTCGTTTCAGAATAGAGAACCAGGCATTTCCCCGCACGTACCTTGCATCCGCCAATCAGCAGAGGAATCAGGGTGGGCTCCGTGGAACCGGCTAAAAGCAGGCCAAAGCGGTGCTCCTGTATGTAACATGGCCAGAGGAAGTAACGCATCCAGAGGCATCGAGCGCAATTCATGTCTGGCTGGCAGGCTGCTACTTGCGACTTCTTCATAAAGTTTGTCGAAGCAGGAAGCAGCAACACGTGTGCCATCGACCAATCCGGCAGCCACGCCATCGGACCTCTGCACCCGAGAAGCAATGCACGGCTGCGCCTGCCGTTCCTATTTGCCACCCTTCACAGCATTCCTGCAGAATAGCCTCGGAGACTGATGCAGGGTGCCAGTGACTGCACAATGGGGTGTGCATTGTCACCGAAGTGGCTGCGTTCTTCGAAGGATGATCCAGGTTGCAATGAAGAAAAAGAAATGATTTTGCGAGGCACGTTATGTTCTATCACAGATAGTAAACGCGCATTTTGGTTTAGCAATCTTGGTGGCTCTGCTGGTACGCATGCCTACACACTGAAGCACTTGTACACTTTCATGCAAGTGCCCTTCGAAGCTACCTACAACTAAAGAGCCTTGCAATCTTTCCCTAGAGCTTACTGGATACTCCTCTATTCGAACGAAACTTTCTTACGATGCCTAGTTGCACAAGCAGAAGGGAATGCGAAGCCGAGGCTGCGACGTCGTTGGCTCCAAGCCCGCTCAATTAGACACTTTTGGCGTCGTATGGTCCCCTCCTTTGACGCGATCGGACCCGCAGCGCGCTATATAGACCTGGAGATCATGCATAAGTGACATTTCTGATGAAATGCCCAGGTTGCGCACTCTGACTTCCATACCTCTGATGCAAACGTAGATATGTCGAAGTTACTACACCACATCCTTAATATCGCTGGAACAACTGCTGGTCATATCACACTCAACCCTCTAGTCACGGCCGCTCTGCTCTGGGTATTGACGAAAGGACCTACACAACTTCGCAGCCAACTGACTACTCGGATCCGCGCACTTCGGGACCCGTTTCGCTATGCACAGCTCGTGAAGGCTTTGAAGTGGTGCCTGATAGCTGGAACAGCAAGAGTCGTCAACAAGCAGCTTAATCATGTTGCCCTGAACGCAGGCAGATTGCGAAGTGAAAAGGCGAGATGGAACTGGAGCCGGGAGGTCGCAGTCATCACAGGAGGCTGCAGTGGTATTGGAGAGCTGGTAGTGAAGAGGTTGATCAACAAGGGAATCAGAGTGGCAGTGCTAGACATTCAGCAATTGCCTCCAAGTTTGCAAGGATGTAAGACAGATGAACACTCATTACGCTAGACGGCCTGATACTAACGAAGACGACAGACGCCGGCCTCAAGTTCTTCAAATGCGACATCACCGACTCCTCTGAGGTCTACTCAGTCGCCGAGAAGGTTAAAGAAACGATGGGGGCACCTACCATCCTCATCAATAATGCAGGGCTTCTGGCATCCCACACCATCCTCACTACGTCCGACGCGTACCTCCGAAAGATCTTCGATGTAAACGTCCTCAGCAACTGGTACACCACCAAAGCTTTCCTGCCAGACATGCTCCGACACAACAAGGGCCATATCGTGACGATCGCAAGCACGGCAAGCTTCATCGGTGTCGCTGGCCTGGCAGATTATACAGCGACGAAAGCGGCTATTCTAAGCTTCCACGAAAGTATGTTCCGTGTCCCATCTCTTAGCTGCAGTATGCTGACCCAAGTTAGCGCTCACCCAGGAACTCAAGCACCACTACAACAGCCCAAGCGTTCTCACGACTTCCATACACCCTAATTGGGTCCGTACACCTTTGATAGAACCTGTGGAGCAGGAACTCAAGAGGCGAGGTTCTCCCATTCTTGAGCCGACTGCTGTTGCCGATGCAATTGTCGGACAAATCATGAGCTGCAGCGGTGGCCAGATCATCTTACCAAGCGCTGCGGGCAAGGTCAGCATGCTGAGGGGATTGCCGAATTGGGTACAAGAGAGTCTCAGAAGCGGCGTGAGCAAGACGATCTACAATACCGTGAAATAAGTTTAATGGAATCCTGTGTGTGAGACTCCGCAACTTTAGCGTGTTGTGCTAGGAAGTACCACACCCATCACACACTGCATGCGGCCCCCGGGAAGAAATGTGCTGGCCTCGGCGGCACTCATGCAGCGAAACGCTTTGTGTGGTGGTACGAACATGACTTGCCGGTGCGAACCAACCCTTTACAGTAGGTTTGGGGGAAAAGCGTAGAAAACTGCATGCACTGTGCCGTGCCCTACGCATAAGGTGTGTGTGGGCTTTGCCGTGGTGCAGGTGTGCCGGTGCCATTCACATCGCTAGCGTATCGGTGAGTCGCGTCCAAATCGCCGAGGAACGCGTCGCGTCTCACTCAATCGACCACTTTACTACAACGACACACAACATCGCCCACACGACCTCAGCCGCTAAAACAGACGAAGGAAACCATGGCAGAACCACAAGAAGATGTTCAGATGGACACCCAAGACATTGAGCTGGAAACGCCACCTTCAGATGTCTTCATGGCACCTTCAATATCCAAATCAGGCATTCTTGGCGGGAAGTCATATTCGCACATCTCGCCCATACCCAAGCAGATTGCAGACGACATGTCTGGAGAAGTTGTGCTAGGTGTTGATGAAGCTGGGCGAGGTCCTGTCTTAGGTACTAGTCCTCCGCGAAAGTCTTCTCCGTCACTAACATATGCAGGCCCGATGGTGTACGCCCTCTTCTACCTACCAATTGAACTTCACCATTCGCTTCTCGCTGAAACGCACCACTTTGACGACTCCAAAGTCTTGACTCCCGAAGTCCGCTCGAACCTGATGCGCAAACTGTGCACCCAAGGCTCAGATCTCTACGAAGCTGGTGGATGGGCAACACGCGTAATGTCTGCGCAAGACATCTCAGCGCACATGCTGTCCCCAAATGTGTACAATCTCAATGCGCAAGCCATGGATGCGACAATCGACCTGATCAAAGGAGTGCTGGCACAAGGCGTCAATGTCAAGGAGATCTACATCGACACGATTGGCAGACCAGAAATCTATCAGAAGAAACTAGAGAGGATCTGGCCTACGATACGGATCACAGTCGCGAAGAAGGCTGACAGCCTATACCCCGTCGTCAGTGCAGCATCGGTATGCGCCAAAGTCACCCGTGACGCGGCCCTAGATGTTTGCTACGAGCCCTACCAGAAGCGCAACACAGCGGCGAACGAAGATGACGAAGTCAAGGTGGCCTGGGGCTCTGGGTACCCATCAGACGCGCGGACAACGACCTGGCTGAAGCAGAATATGGACCCTTTCTTTGGCTGGGGCAGCGAGACGCGCTTTTCATGGGGGACCGCGAAAGAGCTACTGGAAGGGAAGAAAGCAGATGTCGCTATCGACTGGCCCGCCGAAGATGACGGCAACGACATGCGCATGACGGACTTCTTCAGCGGCAAGAATGAAGGCGGCGGGGACGAATTGGTCGACTGGTTCGGGAAGCGTGTTACGCAGGAGATGGACGTATTTTGAACGCTTCATCACAGAGAATGACACCACGAGAACCGCTGAGAGAACAAAACATGCAGGGCACAATAATCGGGCGCACTTATAGGTCCGTTCCAGACCCGCACAGGGCGTCAATATTGCAAGCAGGGTCTACCAACCGGTCAGCCCTACAGAAGCAACGTCATGCCCCGACCATGGGTTTGACTCGGTTGACGTACCCGCGCGCGAGTAAATATACCATCCAGGCAACACAAGCAAGCTTTGAAGGCTTCACTGCTCCTATGAACCGGATAAGAGATATGATTAATCCTACTAAAGCCGTTTCAACGAAAAAGGTCGGCTTCCTAGTCGGATCAGTTTTTGTTTTTCGGTATTCAAAGTTTGAGTGCGTGCGTGTCGGTAATTGACTGTACCAACGGTTGTACATACAGTGCACCAACCATGGGCGAAAGCCCGCGCTTCACAACAACAACCGTGCTCCAACCATGTCATTATATAGAATACTCGAGTCACCGCCTCTGCACCGCCTTCTTGGATTCCCTGTACTTGTCAGCCCCAAACGCATACTTTACACCAGACACTGAAGACGTAAATATCTTTGGCGCAATCACTCGACGCTTTGTCTACCTAATCTTGTCAGGCGTAACCTATCTTTAAAACAGAAAACACTACAGTTCTCAAAATGCACAACGGCGACCTCGTTTATCAGACCCTTTCCCGAGAACTTAGCGGGTCCAGGCCGAATGGACGGAGAGGAGGAATAGCGAAGCGCGGAGAAGGCAGCCCATCCATAACACCTACCCGCCACGAGCAAGACACCGAAGCCTCGTACTTCCAGGGCGCGACGTTCACCAAAGAAGATGAAGAACCCAATCTCGACGCATATCCTCCCTCGCCACCGCTATCGCCCAAAACGACAGTACCACCAAAAGCGCCAACGAGACACCTTGCGGAACGCAAACGTGGCCATGTGCGTCATCGCACATCGTTGAAGCGCAGATCGAGCTGGAATCCGAATCTCAAGCAAGAGTTCCTACGGCGGGCTTCGATTGACTCTATAATCGCACCGTTCAAAGATACGATATGGCTTGACTCAGAGCGTGGAGTCACCTCTGTGCGAAGGAGGAGCAGCGCAATGACTACCGGCGCCAGATCAATATCGCCTCGTAGTCATGGAGATAGACGCAAGCCGCGGAAGCAGTCGACACTGCTGCACCCATCGTCGCCGGATGTCAAGCCCGTGGCTGATTTCACTCCTATACACGCTTCTCCAGTGTTCAGAGGGACACATGGGTGGGATGCGTCAGTCGACTTTCCGACTCTTCGACCTGCTATGCCGGCCAGGAAAGGCTCATCGCTTTTACATCCATCGCGCCCTTCGATCGATACTGTTGAACATAGAGAGCTGAAGACTGTCTTCTCTTTTCCGCCGAACCGTCTATGAAAAGATGACCATCGCCGCTGAAACCCTCGTTTACTGGAGCTTCAGCCTTCCGAACCAACAGCTGCCATGCTTTTCATGATGTCGTCCCTGTCATGTGAACGTCAGTTGAACGAAGTAGCGGTGGTAATCCGGTCAATGTACCTAGGTACAAAGTCACTACTAGTGCCACACCAACGTTCATCCGGCTTAGTGTTCCCCGCATTCATTCAACGTTTATGCTTCAGTCGCCACTGCCGTCTATAAGTCGGCTGGTGTTTTGTTCTCATTCCACAAAACTTGCATCGCACTACATCCGCTCCCAACGATAATGTATCACCAAAGGGCGAGACCATGACACCACGAAACACAAACTTACCTTCGCGCCGCGACTTTCTCAGGGACAACCTCGTCGTCCACGACAAATGCGCTATCTGTACAGAACCATTCGATACGGAACATCAAGCAGCATCCATCAAGACAACGAATTGCCAACACACATTTGGAATAGAATGTCTGACCCGGTGGATAGAATCCGACCGGGACAACCACAACACCTGTCCCCTCTGCAGAGAACAGCTATTCTCCAAAATCGACAAGCCCCAATTTGTCGAAGGAGCACGAGACATAGTAGGCCCACATTACACAATGGCCCACCAGATCCAGACCTGGAAGCCGGCCAAAACATTCGTCAAGAACATGTGGCGTGCCATGTACAGGCTCTACGAACGAGATCAGGTCATTTACGACTCTGACATTGAAGAGCATATCAACGCTAGGATGGTTCCTGGTTTCTATATATTCAGTGATCATTGGCCTGGAATCAGGGAACAAGCTCAGAGGATGGTGCAAGAACACTATAGGAATGGAAGCTATGTTCCGCTCATAGGAATGCAGCTTAGGTTTTACTTGTACAACGTTGAGAGCGTGTTGGAATGGCAGATTGGAGACGAAGAATCGGAACATGAGGTGTTAGGTGATGAACCATCAGATGATGAGGCGTCAGATGTTGAAGATGACGACGATGATATGTCGATGGCGGATTCGACGGAGTAAAATGTCTAGGAAGCTTTCGGTCAGCTCTATCACCTGCTTTGCGCGCTCTGTACCAAAGCCGAGTACTCGTTCTTATTTGCAAGTCGAAGACGCCCGATAACTGTAGTCGTATATGCGGCGTTGCCATTTCCATTATTTTCTGTATCAAAGCCTCACGATAGTGTACCGTACGGTTCCCGCCGCTTCTTAGCAATTTGACGCTGCGCAAAGCCATCTGCGCGCTCTTACCGCATTGGGCCAATTTCACACTCACCACGAAACCCATACCGCGGCTTCACCGCGAGTGACGTTCTGTTGCCAAGATATTCGGGATACAAACAACGCCTGCCTTTTGCCAACCTGACTACTTACACCTTCCGGATCCGCCAGCACCAAGACCATGGGCACGCCACTGAAGGATCGCGAGACTTTCCTCAGTCAGGGCATCGAGAGCAATATCGCGTGCTCCATCTGCGACCGTTTCCTCACAGGTGAAGACTGCACACGACCTTCTTACTGCTTTCGGATCGCTGATGAATTTTCCCCAGAACAAGACACAGCCAGCCGCATACTCACCACCTTGCACAACTGTCATGGAGTCTACTGCGGGCCGTGTCTCCTTGAGCACTTGAAATACAACAATACTTGTCCGGTCCACACGCATGTGATCCTCTTCGAGCTTCCTCGCCGGCCTGAGTTCGTATCTGGAGAGCGCAGTGTCCCCGATACCATCGATGAGATCACAGACAAAATCGAAGCTGCAAAGTTTGTCAAGAAGTTAGTCTCCGTCACCAAACAACTTTACGACTACGAGCAGATTTTCGACTCCGACATCAGAGAGAAGATCAAAGACGTTCTAGACGTCATCGCCGAAGGCTTCAATCACAAGGGTGGCTTGATAATCAAGGACGAGCATATGGCTGGTGTCATGGACGTCGCTAGAGAGATGATTAAGATGCACTTCGAGAATTGGGAGTCAGCTCCTGTATTCTGGGATGACACATCGGATGCCTGGGTACAGAGACTTGGCGAGGCAGTAGGATGGAAATATCCGATCATACATTATAACAACTGGTAGTAGCCATACTCTACTATCGGACATCAGCCGCCTTCGACACAGGAAACAGGGATCGAGGACGACACAATGATGCGTTGAAGAGAAGCTGGTTATGCGGTTGAGCTACTGTCTACCGATCATTGAATGGCTGTAGTAGACAAGCTATACGACCGAGCTTCTAGTCGTAGCTTCCAAGTGCGTACAGAAGATAGGCATGACAAATTCTAGTCTCATCTCAATTTCCCAATCAAACTGTGATAGCATAGCACCAATGCACTGTCGATACGAACTCTCGCGTGGGCGATAACCCAGCTTTTACTGCCATTGTCATCGGAGTGCTCAAGGTCTATAGCAATCACCCAAATTTAACCGTCTCTTCTCAAGCGCCTCGCAAGCCATGTCTCCCAAGCGCTCATCTTACTTGCGCCTCGAATTCGCCTCAAACACCTTCCACTCCTCGACCGACTCCAGCAGCCTCTCCTTGCTCCAACCTCTTTCCAATCCTAATTTGTATGCGGCGCATGCGCTTTGGTAGATGTTGAGATCGTCGATCTTCAGGAGCTCGCTGGATGCCGAGCGCTTGACTTCCTGCTTCAACTGGTAGTTGGCAGTTGCCATGGGGAGCTGCATGGCGCTTGACATCGCCTCGGCGATGCTTTCCCCGAAACCTTTCGCGTGTCCGATATTGGAGTCAGTTGGTGTTTTGGCTGATATGAGCTCGCCATCATCTTTGGCGTTGTTGCTGACTGCTCTTAGTGGGTTTGTGAAGCCCAGGTCTTGCAGCTTCTGACAAGGTTAGTCGCTGGAATGGTGCAAGTGTGCAGTTGGACGTCGCTCACTTGGTTTTTCTCTTTCGCTGTTGCTGGTTCGCGGTTTGGGAGGTTCTTGTTGGGATTCATGATGGTTCGGCGCAGTTCTTAAGTGATTTCCTGTGGTTGCGGTACTCGCTCAGGCAAGTAATCGTATGGCTTGGGTGATATAGGAAGCGAGAAGTGGCTGCCCACGATTACTGAAAATACCTGAGGCTTCCCGGTAGTTCACCGAGTGATTGCAAGAGCGGTGTACTCAGGTCTCTCTTACCTCATTCACCAACCGCTCTGCGAACAGCGCGGGCTAGGAATAATACAAGTTCCATGCACTCCGAACAAAGGCGACACTTTGACATCGTCTGCAACTGCAGTAGTAGCACTTATCATTGCCGGCGCAGTGATGTTGTGCGCAGTGAGGTTTAAGATTGTGACTTCGCAAAGAGTGGCTGGTACATTTTGTAGAAGTCTATCACGATGTATAGAGATATCATGAATGGGTCGATGGTAATCATGGCAGTGAATAACCATAACTTACTTTATAACTCGAAAGTTCGCGACGAGACATGCGAGGCCGTGAAGCAGAACATGTAAGACAGCCAGAATATAACTCATTTGCAGCACCATCGTTTCGCAGCAGGATAATAAGCCCGAATGTGACTCCCGACTCCTGTGTAGATTCTGGCTTCTTTGTTTAGCAGGGTGT